CCAAAACCCCAAAACCCCAAAACCCCTCTAACATAATTTCATCAATTTTCAGTATGTTAGATTAACATTTAAATTAAAACAAATGAGAGATCAATTTTCTAATTAATCAAAATAATTCGTTTTAAACTTTAATTTTCAATCAGTCCTCAGATGGATCTGGCTTGCAAATAGAGCCATAAACTGTATTTAGAATGATAATTGTAAATGGCATGAAATAGTAATAGTAGGACCCATAGAATATCTCCATAATTCTATAGATAAATGTTGAAGGATAATACCATCTAATCACATCAAAATACTTATTGTGTTACTTATCAATTATGATCTTAACATCTCCATTGCATATAGACTCCTTAATTTTGTTTTTATACAAAGTCTTTGCATAAAGGTTATCGATCTCAGCAATAAAGCCAAGAGCAATATAGTTAAGTACGATGCTTTCAATCTTATTCTGTTGGCAAATTAGGTAAATATTAAATAGCTCAACGACAATTGCAGCTGAGAATTATAGTAAAGCAACCATAAACATTGGGAATCTATTGTTCTAATTCTTAGAGGGTATATTGTGTCTAGCACAGTTAAACATCGTCATTGATCTTCTGATTTCACCTTCCATTTACATATGTAGCAGAATAGCACAGAGTATTCTAGCTAAAAACATTTAGAAATTACCAGTGTATACTTCAAACTTTGAATCAATCTCCTCCCAATACAGTAGACCCATCACACCCATTTGAATTACAAATATGAACACACAATTGCTAATGCATTTAGCTATTTCTATCTCTGTTACAGGAGGAACTGCTTTCATATTTTCAAGATTTTTCTATGCTACAGTCTTTACAGGATTTTCATATGGATCTTCATTTATACTATCCTGAGATGCCAAAAGTTTTTCAGTTTTTTAAAGACTCTTTTTGTATAGTGAAACAAAAGTGACTGAGTAAAAGTCTTCGTCAAACTCAATGTAATCATCTTCATCACCTTCTTTTAAGGTATCTTCTCTTAGCTGATGAGACTCAAGTAGCTTTTAGGACTTACGCTTCTCAATATCCATATAATTTGAATCTCTAACCTTAACAATAATGAATTGGAAAAGTGATGTCAATAAATAGCTGAACTCCATACAAATCAAGATTAAAATCCAGTATTCAAAAAATCTCTTATAATGTGATTCTTCAACCACAAAGAGCTAAACAATCATGAATATAAATACCATGATTTGCAAGAAGAAATTAGCCCTTAAAAAATAGATGAGTATCTTTTTCATTCTAAATCTACTAAAAGCATATACTGTGATAAGCACATAGCCAATGAAATTTAAACTAGCTCTAATCCAAATTGAGTACTAGAAATCAGATATAACCTCTTCATCTCCTGATTTAAAGTAAACAAATACAATCACAAAGATAGATTCAAGAAATACTGTGCCAAGGACCAGCTACTCTTAAAGTAAAAAATGATAAACAGAGAGAATATCTTGATCTTTAATGCTGGAATTCTTTGTTAAGTTCTTTTGAGCATCAACATATTGGACTGTCTCATTGCCTAAACCACCTTCACACATCCCAAAAACTTTCATTTCATCATCATCCTAATGGGTAGGCTGTACCTTAAATAGATGCTAAGTGAATAAGAAAATAATGGTGAGAAAAACTGATATGTAATAGAAAGTTATCTCAAGCAGCAACCACTCACTAGCATTGATGTTAGCCTATATCTTTTCAAAATTAGATAAAGTCTCCCCTTCTTGAGGAACATGCATCCAGCTATAACTCATTCCACAGATTTGAGGGTCATCATCAGGTTTAGTGCTCATTGCTTTCTAATCTTTTAGTTGATATCCTGCTTTAAGCGTCTGATAGTTTCTAAAGTACTAAGCTTAAGCATAGTATATGGCTAATTGATAAAGAGCAGCATTTATAAAGCCCAAAGGATAAGCAAGTCTACGGCCTGAGCCATGGAAAGCTTTCTTTTAGATCATTCGAACGAAATCAATGCCATAGCATAGATAGTGAGAACACAATGTATAAAGAATAGAATGATTATGGCTGTCTAAATCGAAATCACCTCTAATGATTAGATAAGTCATGCACACAGCAAAGGCCATCTGGATGTACATGTTGCCAACAGCACATCGGTACGCTTGCAAGGGATCAAGAAATCTCATTTTAAGCTTAAGGCACTTAAATAATATCTTGCTGAATTTATATAGAATATTCGATATTTAACTGGTTTAAATACTTTGAGAGCAAATGTATTTTTGCGGTTATTTGAAATCATGATAAATTAAACTTTCAAATTAATTTTCTAAATTGCGTCTTATCTTGATAATGCGGGGTTTTGGGGTTTTGGGG